AAAACATTGTAAAATGATTTTCCAAAACCTTTGACATGCATTCAGCTCAATAGGTCCCAAAAGCTCAGGAAGAAGAGCTTCAAACCAAGTAACAGTTGTTATTTATTAAGCCCTACTAACAAAACTGGCCTAACCATTTTCTTCTGTCTAACCATTCCCTACTGTTTGCAAGGGCAAAGGGATAGGGACTTAGCATGTTAAGACGATGCTAATAATAATTCATTTAATAGAAGAAAAGGACATTACACCGAGGAAACTATTATTCAAGCAGACTCAGTCTGATGAGCCAAGAAAAAGCTGCCTCTGCACAACTCAGGACTCTCAAGATACCTATGTGATTAAGTTACTTCAGAACAAATTAGTGCTCCATGAACTGATTACACCACAAATAAGCCCAATACAAAAGAGAGAAGCCACTGACAGACACAGTACCCTCCTCACAGCAGCTGAGCTCTACAACTCTCATCCAGAATGAACACCAAAAAGCTGTCAGTGTCAAAAGGATTTCTGGTCTTTTTACTCAAAATTCACAAAGTACGTCAGAGCAGATGCAATATCTACACGAGATAACTAATCACAAGAATCCTATACTTTCATTTTCTCTTGTCACTCAAAGCACAAATTGCAGCTCTCTCACGGACCTAATAATTATTCATATGGCTGCATTTTGCTCTTCTCCAATAGCAGCATGAAACTTGGTTTGAGCTGCAGGAACCCAGCCAGTGACTACAGAAGCTGCTGTTGTGATAGCACAAAGCAGAAGCCAACTCGGCAGGTAATTGGACTTGAAGTCGGAAAGATCTTCCCCAGTCAGCTTGAAATAGTAATTTCATAGGGGAGAAAATAGGTTGTCTTTATCTACCACAGGTTACCAAAGGAAAACTTGGATCCCAAGACAGACAGACATAATAAATACCAAGACATACCACCATAAAAAGGTATTAAAGATGGGGCTTTTTGTACTCTGCAGCAATTCAAAAGGACATTTGTAATCTTCTATCAAGTCAGTATTAAGAATGCAAGCGCTTAGGTATCAAAGCACAACATTCATTTGTTAGAAATGAGTACTTCTAGTGCTTGCTAGTTATATGCTCTTGCCCACTGACTCAATACTTCGGAAGGACTCAAGTACCATACAGGCTGTTACCACAGAATTCATTCATACTTTCAGAGTAATCCTAGGGAATCCTGGAGGGCTAATGTCAACGGTTCATGCTTCCTAATGCCATACTTCAAGTAACTCAAATGCACATGAAGCTCCTTCTTCATTTTCCTAACCTTTACACCCATGGAAGTAATTCCAAAGCATTAGAAACCAATAAAGCCATCTCAATGCATCCATACCTAGAGTCATGGCGGACTACATGACTTGAGTGTTCAGAATCACCAGTAACTTCACTGTTAATGCCAGCTGCCAGCACCCACCTCACATGGAACTGGGGGAGTTTTCTCCCACAATTCTACAAGAACTCCTCCTCCAACAAGGAATTAGTGATGGCTATGAAGAGGAAAAATCAGGAATGAAGATCTACCTGCGTTTGCACCGGGGAAAGTGTTAACAGCCCACTGAACCAATAGATTGATTTGTACAAGAAGATGAGTATCTTTGCTTGGCAGATATTGGGATCATACAGTTTTATTTATTCACCTACTTAAGATCTGTAAGACAGATATAGTCCTCAAGTATTTATAGAGATATTAAGCTGCTTTTGTTTTCAGTTACAGACACATCTTTCTGTCAAACATATATTCCCCAAACAAAAAACCCCACAAACCCTCAAATACAAAAAACCCTTAAAAAACCTCTCATATGCCGCCCCCCCCCCCCCACACAACACGAAAACACAAAGCCCCCCCCCCCCCCCCCAAAACCTAGTAAACTCCAGTTTAGCATCCCATCATTCCCAGGTGATTACTGTGAAAACTTACAACCCCCTCTCACTTGAAGTTCAGCACTCACTGGACAATTTCTGCACAAGTAAACCTCGTAATCATCTCAGACAGCAGCAGACTTAGACTTTGCCTAGAGTTCCACAGCATTAACTATCGCGTGTGAAAGCAACAGTTCAGACAACTCAACCAAACAAAATAAACATTACAACTAACTTTTGATTTTGTTAAATAGCTCTAATAGCTAGGATTGCTGATTTTTGTTTTCAAGTTATATCATGATGAGCTAGTAGCAAACTTACACTGAGTTTGGTAATCAAAGGAAAGTTTTCACAGATCATATGATTATGACTGATGACAGTCTTCCTTTTCATCACGAGACCCAAGTCCATGCAGGGAACGGCCTCTCCTGTGACTTGTGATTTTGAAACAAACTCTCCCATCTAGCAAAGGGGATTATTAAAATCTTGAATAAGGTTCATACACAATTAATGAAAAGTCTCACTCTTCCCCCCTCCCCCAGCACAGACATGTACACACAGACAAACAAGAGACAGCATAAGAGTTTTAAGCTTCCTTTCTTACACTAATATAAATTTTGATAATGCTGGAAAAAGCCTGCCTCAAACAAACAGTCTGAGTTTTGTAAAATACGGGACACTAGAAAATTCCCTGAATAGTGCCTAAGCATAGAGTTAATAAAACAGGTTTTAAAGTCAAGTGCATAACGCTGAAGAGATGCATGCATGTTTTAACAATGCTCTGAAAAATCTTGAGACTTATTATCCCATGCAGTGCTTTCCTCCCAAATATACCCATATACCCTCAGAAGGCCAAACAATTCTAAATTTTATTCAGCACCTCCAGAAGGCAGAGTGGCAAAAAACAAGCACTCCAGTGGAAAAAAAAAAGGGCACTGATTCATGTGCAATTAGCTCAGCTAAATTTACTACTGAAACCACTGCTACTCCAGCTGTCCTTGACACCTGCATAGCAGGGACAATGGAACATGACAAGCATCCTCGTACGATCTATTGCAGTTTTCAGGCTGACACACTAACTTAAAATTGGTGACAGTTACAGTTCTTGAGCTGCTTCATTAACGGCCTTAACACAAAACCACCTACGCATCTTATTCAAGCTTATCCATGCCACAGCAGTGACAAAACAAAAACCAAATGGAGACAGCCAGTGCTTTATCCCCCTCTGCTAAACCCACCACCCTAAAAGCATCAGTACTCTGAAAAGAACATGTTTCTTTCTATTCAAAGATTCAGTTAATATAGTGACAGGCAAGCAAAGCAAAACAGAACTGCCATCTGAAAAGTCAGAAGGAAGGATGTAAAGGGAGGAAACTTGTTAATATCCTGTGCAGCACAAGTTCCCACTGGTTTATCTTCCTTAAATAAGAGTTAGACTGAGAGCAGAACAAAACTTTTGAGGTCAAGTTGCCCATTATTTTCTCAGAACAAAGCAGATCACTCTTTTCTCTTAGCCTGTGCTTCTGCAATCATTTACAAAAGTTGTATGTAGAAGCCATTCCCAGTAAAACACATTTAGGCTCTGGTGTTTAAGATGTCAAAAAAACCTACAAAAGCATCTTAAAACGTAAACGTCCTTTCTGTGCATTGAAAAGAGCACTAGCTGAAATCCACTGCATCACTGTTCTGGCACACGTCCACCAGCCTTGCCCCAGACAACAGTATAAATACACAAAAGCCCTTTTATAAGGGTTCAGAGAAAGGGAATACATTCAATCTGACATAACTACCTGAATCCAAGTCCTCAAAGGAGGGGCTTTAATGTCTCAGACCCTCTGCTATCTTTATAAGGGCACTAATTTGTACAACACACATATTTTATCCGCGCTACAATAACAACACAGATGAACATTAACCAGATACCTTGTGGTGTCTGCCAGGTGTTTAAATATTTTGCAACTCAAATGCCGAAATACTATCTGCAGTCCAAATGCTTAAGATTACCCAGTGAGAACATGTGTATATTTCCATCAGCTAAGTAAACCAGATTTTTTTTCATTTGTTACATTTTAAGCAACAGACCAGAGTTACCAACATACAAACATATACTACAAGCTTTCTATTTTGAAGGTTGATTTCATCAGAAGATTTAACTCTCAAATGCTTTCATTTTGAGAATACAAACACTGAAAAATGTTTACAGGAAGTTTTAATCCAAAAGACTATGTATTTATCTGCTCCAGGCAGGCCCTATACAACCTTTAAAAAACCCCAAGCTTTGACATCGTATATTTTGAATAAGTTCAGGTGCATACTGTGTATGGTATGTATTATAAAAGAAAACATAATCCTATACTATGTATTCAACAGTATTCTTCTCTTGGTCTAAAGAATGGTGTATGTTCTCTCCCTCTCGGAGATGTATTTTGGTAAAAGGCGTGTACAACTCTTAGAAACCATCCACTTTTGTGAGCGTCACCATAGAACTCCCCCTCCAGTTTGGCCCTAATTCTAGTCACTTTTTGCTTCTAGGAAAAAGGCTTTGAGAGAAGATATAGCATGACTTTTTGCCACTTGACATATGTTCCACCACCGCAACTCTAACCTGGACCGTTCTATAGGTTAATACATTACTATGTTAACATATTTACTTTACTGCTTTTGCTCCTTCACCTACACTAAACTTCAGGTGACAACATACAAAATAGCATTATCAGCCACAAAAATGAAAGGCCCAGAAGGATCACAATGTTTTTTATACTATGTCAATTATCTTCCTGAAGAGGAGAGAGACATATCAATCTTATACTCCAGTGAGAAAGAAATTAAAATACTTTTTGCATGTGCCTCACCTGATCACTCTACAGCTTAGATAAAACAGCAATGACAGAGTCAGCTTTCTGAACAGGGGCAGAAAGGTCAGATTATCTCATATCTGAGGTTAAAGAATGTATTCAACAGGTAACTGGATTAAAATTGAAGATATATACCCCCAAAAAGAAAATCCACTGCAGACTTTTCATTAAAGCAAATATATCTGGACTACCACAGAATGAACCAGCAGTAGTATGTGAGTTGTTCTCCACCCAGGATCATCAGAAAAACAAGATTTGCCCCACTGTCACATACCTTCGATGCCTGGGGAGTAGAAATCACGTGAACGGTGCTGGGCTTAACTCCATTTGCCTTAGGTCGCTTATAAAGGGCAAATCTGCTTTTCCTGCGTCCTCTGTCACCATTAGGGAGGGATCCATTATACCTAGAAATAACAAAAACAGGTTTGGCATAAACCACTACCAGTTTGGAATACAGAAAAGGAGAGCAGCAATTTGGTCACAATATCCTGATGTCATCAAATGCATGGGCAAACAAAAAAATTAACAACCATGGTAAGCTTTGTTTCCTAAATTATGAGCATTCAAACATTCTTTACCTACCAATACTTGAAATTTTATTCATCATTAACAAGGTAATCAACTACAAGTGAAATACTGGAGTTGCTGAGCCACAGAAATACTTCATCTCTAGAATCAAAGGAATTTGGAAGAACAAATCCTAAATCTTCTCTGTAGTTTCAGAACACGAGAGTTTTTAAGATGTTTTTACCCTACCATCCCCTCCCCACATCTCATGCAAGAATGGAGAAGAGAAGAGGAAAAACAGGGAAAACAAAGTAATTTAGGGGCAAGTCAAACTAAGTGAAAGGGAATTTTACTCTAGGCACATAAGGGTTTTTTTAGTTGATTTTTTCCTTTTTTTTTAACTCTAATCCTAAAGGCTCATCTATTATTAAGGAAAAAGGATGCAAGTGTTTTTAATTTATGTGAATGTTTCTGAAGACTTGCTAATGACTTCCTTTATCAGGTGTAACAGAGTAGCCTTCGACAGTTCTTTCATCTCTCTCTGAGGACAGAGACCCAACCGATTAATTATTCGGCAGTCTTAAGCCTCCAGGGGACACAGCTCCTTCCCCAGGGAAGGAATCAACTGGAAATTTCTTTCACCCCACCCCGAAGATGTAGGACAAGTAGATGCTTCTCATCACAGCACTGTCACCTCTAACATTCTTGATAACTCTCAGCTGGTCTGTGAAGACCTTTCAGGGCTTTACTGCATAGAAGCCTCTTCCATTCCTGATCCTCAGAGATTTCAGACTTTTGCCTGAAGAACTACAGATGTTATTCCACTTATAAATCTCATTTGTCTTACTGGTGATGTCTATTCTACACTGATCACATACATCCCTCTCCTACAGTCTTTACAATTAAAAGCTAACATCTCAGTCAGGAAAAGAATCTGAAGTGAAGAAGAAAGAGGAAGATTTAAAGGTGACTAGCTCCCTGTAAAGCACAAGAGGTTAAAAAAAAGTTACGAGAACTCATTATCTGTTTAGACATACGCTTAGAAGTGGTTCAGCTCTACATCCACCACACTATCTGCAGATTATAATAATTTGTTTGTAGCCCTACAGAAGGCTAATAGTCACTGCTCGGGCTGTAAGAGCAGTTCTATGACAATTGCAGATCAGGAAAAGTTACGCAGTTACCCAGAATTTCCCCACCACCACCACCCCCCCTTATCATTACATTCTGTAGTCTGCAAGAGAATGCACCTGGAGAGCCCTATATCCTTTTGCAAACAAAGGAGAAATGGGTAGTGATGAAAGCAAGCGGTCTCATTGTCCAGGCTCCAGAGCAGTGCCCTGTAGAAGGCTTACTGCAGGCAAGGATCATCTGGTGTCACACAGGAAAAGAGTTTAAACTCCACATGCACAGTATTTTAACACCAGTGAGCTGAACTGCAAGACTGCTGAATGGCTGTGAGCAGAAACAAGAACAGATTTAAGATTTAAATAATTTCAAATTTAACACATTTAATACATTATGCTAGAGACACATAATAAGTTAAGAGCTTTTCAGTTGGGCTACAATTGAACTTGTTCTCCCACTTCCATTTTCATAGCAAAGCCTACTGTATTTTTCTAGAATATTAAGAGACATTCTCCAACATAGCAGAAAAACAACAGGAATAAATCACTATTATTTCATGCCAGGCCCACTCGTATCTGGAAACTCATTATTAACCCTACACAAGAGAAGAGTAGCACTCAGTTAGCACAGCAGATGCTCATCACAAGAGACCATTTCCTAGAAAGATGTATCAATACAATCCACAGGCAACTTAAATACCAGCCCTCAAAATCGGAATAGTTTGATTCTACGGCTTGAATCTTCCTAGATATATACACAAGCTTTCTTTCAAAGACACTATATTACCATGAATATGCCAGCAAGTTTTAACTTGCCTGAACACAACATTCTTTCTACAAGTATTTTTATCCAAAAACCTGAGAAAGCAACAACTCCTTCAGAAATATATATAAGCAGCAGCATCACTAATTTTATATTCTGTAATTAAAATTTTTGTATTTGTGTAACTGTTAAGCAGCACTGAATTTAAGTAGTTCCACTGAAAGTTAAAGCCAGCCCAGTAGGGTTATTTTGTTTGGGTTTTCTCATGTTCACAAAACAATTATAACTGGGAAAGGCTACTTTATTTCATTTCAGGTCTCTGTGGGATTTAATTATCTTTTTTTTAAAACAGAAAGAAAGAAACCACTCAAGGTTAAAAGGCCTTTTGGAAACTTTAAATAGGAAGGAAATACAAGCAAAGTAAAAGTTTAATTCATTCATCCTGATTAGCACCAACGAGTTTTCATGAAGGCTTTCCTTGTGCCAGTGTCTACATTTCATTTGCAGAAAAGGGCAGGAGGATTTGAGTGGTAGTTTTACTATTTGCTATGCTTTAATTATAGACCTGCAAATTTTATCTTGATCTGACACTGGTAAAAAGAGCTAGGACAATTACTAGGCATACGTATGTGTTTTATAGGGGAGGAAAAAAAAGTGTCAGAGAACTTGCCTCTTTCCACAGCTAGCAGATGCCTTCATTTTTTCTAGGCCAGGACTCTCAACTTGTTCACCACAAATCAACCCTGCCCATGGCACTTGGGCCACACCTTTCCTTGGCACTACCTGAACAATCTACATACCAAACGAACCGATATTAATACCATGGGATCTTGTAGCCACAACAGGACCTGCACCCACCCACTCACGCAGCATCTCTGTCCTGGTAAACGTGCAACTAAGACTGCTCTTGAGGCAGCAAACCCACGTTCACTTCTTGGCAAGCCCCTGCCTTTCTAAACTGAGCCGTCCCACAGGACGCAGCGGGCTTCAGCATTCAGGACAAGGAATACAGGCATGTCCATCCACACCTTGCCAAATCAGCTTTTCTAAGCACAGGCATAAGTAGCCACAGCAAGAGAAGCAGCCCTCTCCTGTTTTCCTCAACTGTTCAACTGAGCAGCGCCTGGGTGAGCAACAACTGCCGTCTCCCAGGCAGCAGAAGGATGGAACTGCAAAGGAAGAGGAAGGACAAGGGCTAAGGCCACAAATTCCCCTGAACCCTGGGAGACTCTGAGCTTCCCCATAGCCATCAGGAGCTTCATAAACAAAACAGAAGCTCCTTGCTCAATCCTCTCTCAAGCCCTCTCCACAAGCATCAGCCCATTGCCCTTCTCCCTGCACCATTCCAATAGCTCCAGAGGCCTGCTGTAGCTTAGGGACCAGCATATTAGCTGCCAACTCCTTGTTTCACAAGATGGCCAGCACTACCAAAAGACAACCTGCAGCTGGAACTCTTCTTTCACACCACCAAAAAGCCTAGAACAAATGTTGCTTCCAACTAATAAAACAAACTAGGAAAAAAAAATGTTTCACAGAGGCAGGACAACCATTTCCGAGACCATCCTGCTCACATGCAGATCTATGGGGTACTTCTAAAGTTCTCCAGATTTCCAAAACATCAGATCAGCACATGTGGTAAGAGCAGTCCTATACTTTTTCCAAATGCTTCTCAGTGACAGCAATACTGGGACAACTAGCGTTATGAAACCTCGTGGGATAATTCTCTCTGTTGATAGCACTATTCCTTGCAAATAAGGGAGTGGTGCTGGCATAGGCTATGGGCACCATAATTACCAAAGCCAGTTTCCTACAGATTTACATCAAACAGTTGAGGACTTTGGTATATAATGAAATGCAAACTCCAATTAAGTTTTTCCCATAGTTGGGATACGCAATGAAAGCCTCCCCTCTGCATCAATTCACGACTGTCTGGAGAGCAAGACCACACATGCTCTCTCCCACAGTCGGAACACAGTGCTAAGTTCCTATTTTCTACAAGTCTTGAAGGAACCTACTTGACTACTTCAGAGATCATCAACAAGTTTTGAACCATTAGTGGGATAGCTTGTTACACAAGCTTTTTTGTTTTGTTAAAGGAATCAGGCTTACCCAGTGGCAAAGAGTAAACAAGAGCTCTATTACTTAGGACAAGAACTCTAAAAATCTTGACCTGCACCTCAAAAGATTAGACTTCAACTCAAGGAAGTCATTCCCAAAATTAAGGGGAATATCTACTAGCTACCAGACACAGAAGATGCTCCATGTAGCTGATTTTTTTTTTTTTTTTCAAACAATGCTATGAAAATACAAGCTATCATAGAACTTAAATACTTCTCCATACTTATGCAACCTACCCCCTAAAAGACTAAAAACCGAGTAAGTCAAACTTTCACAGGTAGCATTTCTACTGACAAAAAAGAGTAACTTCACTTCGCTTTTCTCACCTACTACTAACAGTTCTACTGCACATCTCATCATTTTTAGATGCAAACCACCCTGTTTCACAGGCTCAGCTTTGAACAGATGACATGCTACAGTTCAGTTGTTACCATAGCACTAATGCGTGAGAGAAAGCCTATCTTTGCTGTACTGAACAACAAAACTGCAGAAGTATTAGCAACAGCTTTCACTGTGAAGTCAAACTTGAGAGAATTTTTCCTTTTAAGTACATTCTGATTCCATGTTTGGTATCATACAGTAGTATATACTCAGCACATATCAAAAATTTAGTTTGTGCTTAGACCATATTTTTACCATCACTGAACTAGTGTGGGCCAACACTGCTGCCAAAAGCAGCAATCCCACCTTCCATTTGCTATTTTCTTCCTGCTACTTCTCTCCCCGGTTCACGTGAAGGGGAAGCAAAACCAGATTTGTGCTTTAAATTTAGTTTTGAACCACATCAATTCCTCACTCTCCTGTCCACTGCAAAGCCACAGAAACACTTATATCAGCAACCAGGCAAAAATGGCGCAGAGGGCAGGAGAGATTCCTTTGGAAGTCTTGAAAGTCTACAGTCAGCATGACATCTACAGCATTAG